GAAAAAAAAAAAGAAAGAAAGAATTACGTACGTACTCAAATGGTTGAAAAACCCATTGACTATTTTTCATAATACGTTTACGTTAAGCCGCTTATACTCATTTAATTCATGGCAACCTAGTGAACTGAATTAAAGTTTCTCTTCCTGAAACAAATTCCCATTCTTATTATGGCCAAGCTTTTAATTCTCTTTATTATTATTATTATTATTACGCTTTTCATGAGCTCTCTATGGGAATGAATACAAGTGCGATTATATGTTATCCATAAATAGATATGATATCCAAATAAATAATACCTTAATTAGAAACCATGGTGTGTCGCTGACAAAGTCTCGATGACAAAATGGTTACTTTACGTATGAAAAGTTGCTTCAAGTTTTTAATTATAATTCTTTTTTTTTTTTTTTTTTTTTTTAAATGCGCATAACGATGACTTGTCGACAGGTAATGAATGCTTTGGGATTTGCGTTTGAGTATAAAAATGTTAAAAAAGTTAATGTATTTCTTGTGTTATCAGGTTGTAACTGCTCTCTCTTAAAATATCGCAACAGCTGCTATATGCTGTCATATCTCTTTATGCGACACTTATAGGTATCAACGAAATATGAGTTGGACTTATTTTTACATTCTACACCACTTACGGTATATGAGATTATTTTAAGTTTGTACGGAAGTATGTAACATTAGATCCACCTTTTATTATACCCATCGATTCACAGTCATTGTCTGAATCTATCTAAAGTTGCTTGTCCTTGTATTTTGGTATGCAAGCTATAGATCGCAATTTTTGAGATATTTTAATGAAATTCGGTAGACCGATGTGTTTTGATCCAAGCATGCTCGCTATTGAAAATGATTCGGATCGGTGTACTTTTTCGACCACTCTCCATATAAAGCCTTATTTTGAAACACATTTCTCGACAAAACTCGCTGAATGTGTCCAGCATTCAAAACTGATATGGAAAATTTGGTTCGCTTGGACAAATTTTTTGAACCACCCCTCGCCATTCTCACAAAAACTAAATCTTTACCCATTAAAAAGTATGATTTTCAATAATTCTAATAGTAAATCGATTTAGAGGTCCGCCTTAGCGAATTTGGACCACGTAGGTTTTTTTATGGATACTACCGCATGTAAGTTTTGTCACAAAATGTAAACCCGGATATGTCAAAAAGATTTAATTGTTCATGTGACAAAAATTTGCTCAGTATAGTAATACGGAGTAAAAATTAAGCGGCCAAAATTGAACGACATGGATCCATTTTTCGGATACCGTTCTATATAAGATTTCCCATGATTAGTGAATCCAGAGCAAATTTTAATTTTTAATGAATTATGATGAGAATTAGTCCATAATAGAAATTTAGAGAAAAAAATGAACGGTAAAGAAATTGGACCACATAGGCATATTTTTTAGAATCCAACAAATAAAGTGGTTATAACGAAAAGCAAGAAGTTATATGGACAGGAAGTGTAATTTGTAATCAAATCTTTAGGCAGTAAGTTTGTTAAATTTTGATGTCGCCATCTGATGTCCGAGGCATCCTCCAATATGAAAGCTTCCATGAGAAGTGTGCCATTGCCCGATTATAACGATCTTACTTGTTTCACTTTGGTTGCAGCATTAGAAACTACGTTCCAGGGATGCAGATATTTTTGTTGTAATAATAGTGAATGTACTTTTATTTGTTTCTGTTCCATCACCTGTCTGCCTAGTAATAGGCTACTTAAAGCTTGAAATAGTAACCTACGACGATTCAATGTACAATTAATCCTTGATCAATTTTTTCAACTGATAAACGGGTCATATGAACCTGACCTGAATACATACCGAAAAGTTGAAAACAAATACAGAGAAAAAAAAAAAACAAAATTTTAAAATATTTTTGTTTGTAACTGGCACACACGAGAAAGGTTAGGAATTTTTTTTTATGGATTCCTTGAAAGGGTGAGGTAGCAAAAATCGAACAAATTGTTTATAAATTTCAAGTTTTTTTTTTTTTTTTTGTGATTGCTTGCTAAACATTTTAAAACAAAGTTTTAATTACCCGAATGTAAAAGGCAAATTAAACGGTCTGGTCAAATACAAATAAAAAATAGCTTTTATGTAAAACTCTTTGAAAACTCTTTTAAACCTTTCACAAAGCTTTCTGCACTATAATTATTTTTCTAAGAGCAATATGTAGCTAAAGATAAATGCCTTGATATCCACGCCATTCATTTAAAAGAATTTTTGTAAGGTCTCTTTTGGCTTGTGAGTAAATAAAGGTAAACCAAGCCTTGGCCCTATAAATCAACGAAATAATCATGTATTATTATAGATAACCTAATTATTTAACGAAATTGCATGAAAATCTATCATTTTTGCGGATTTGCCTTAACAATAGAAACTTATTTTGCAGAAAAGCATTTTGCTTTCTTTCCCTTAGGTAGTTATGCAAATATTGGCTCGTTTTTGAAAATATTATTGTATAGAACATTCGGAGTAGTAAAAAACAATCATTTTCAGAAATTGTTTACAAAGCAAAAATGGTCTTAAATACATTATTGGGCTCTTAGTCATCTGGTGGTGACAATTGACTGTAAATTGAGTTTAATTGATAAGAAAAGCAGAAATGGTCACAAAATCTATTAAATATTTTAAGAGAAGGCAGAAACACCGCTTGATCCGTGAATGCTGGAGATAGATGGAGATATAGTTTAACAGCAAGATTATAAAAAACGAAGTAACTTTTCTGTGAGAGTAGAGTAAAGAAGCCAAAAGTTTCCATTAGTGTCTTGAAGAAGGTCTTACCAATTTCTAAGATCAAGCCTTGCGAATATACTATGACGCACATAGTTGAACAAACTTGTGGCTTCTCCACTCGAAACATTGTGTTGTTCACACTAACATGTACACAATATCATTTTTTGGATGTTTTGATAAATAGGACAAAAGAAAAAAAGTCAAAAGCGTAAAGCTCCTGCTTAATTCAAAGTATGGTGTCATTGAAACTGGAACAAATCCATAATCTACGTCATAGTATGATATTTTTAAGCGTTAAGGCGTTCGACTTCATAATGGAAAAAATATTATCAGCTCTAATTTGGGATATGCTACACTTCCCGCCGTACCAGCAACTTGTTTTGCAGGCTATGCAAATTAGCAGAGTTTCCATCGCAATGAGAACTCAAAGGAACATTTTTTCTTCACGCACATTATTCATATTTTATGCAAGCAATAGTGGGTAGCTACGATTTCCATTTTAAAGGAAACATTTCGTCCCAAAACAAAATAAATACTAGGACCATTAAAACTCACATGCGCACACACTTCATATGACATCTAAACTGAATCAAGTCGCTACCATATTTGAAATGTTTACCCAGGAAACAAGGTTTGGCCTCTAGATGAACTTTAATTCTAATCTAATCAGTAAGTGACAATGCCTATGAGCTGTGAAAATAGCAAAATATTATTTTAGTCTCCTAAATTACTTTAATCATTTAAATTTATTTGAAATCAGTTTCTTCATTCATCTAATAATCCGTAGCTTTGGTTCGTTTTCTTGCATTTCGACCGATTCCCATTTTCGAACGTTGTTCACGGCTTTCAAGCAAAAACCAGTTAACCGGTAAATATATACGTTTTGTCTGGAATTATGATTTAGATTTCATAAAAAATTTAAATACATTATTAGTGCCATTTACCGCCTTCAAGCAATAGTATGCATACATAACGAGTCAGTCGACAGAAATATGTTTTGTCCGATATTATGATTTACATTTCATAAAAAATTTATATATGCCACAAATACTGTTATATTGGAACTCTTCAGTTTTATTTCTTAAGTGTGCTTTTCAGGCAGCTAATAAATAAATGGAGCGGTTGAGATTATGAACACTTACAACTGCTCTTTTTCTGACTGACCCATCACACTGGCAGACGATCCAATTGATTCGATCATTATTGTCTTGATGGGTAAAGATACTAGATAACAATATTTTTTACTAATCAAAGACAAAAATATATACCATGTAGCTGGACAAGAAAACAAATCAAAAATTTAAAATTTGATTTCCAACCACATAAACGAAACATAAGCCTTCCTTGCATCTACAACCTACCTTGTCAGACAATCTCTAAGTCAACAAGGTATACATTGAATCGATTATATATGGTTTGACTGTTCGCAGGTTGGAAGATAAAAAATGATCTTTATTAATAATTTTAATAACTAATAAACTGATATAAAAACTTAAATTTATTTATTTCACCATAAAAAATGCATGCCTTTGCCTTTTATTCAGCCTTTTAGTTGCATGTTAGTATTAGGAAATTATTATTGTTTTCTGTTTTTTACTCAATATTAGCGAAAAATAATGAAAACCACCACCATCTACCACTTCCTCCAATCAACTAAAATATCTAAATTTATAAAAAAAAAAAAATAAAAAATAAAATATATATACATAAATATATTTGGCTGCAATACCTTTACCACGGCAACACATCAGCTACTCTTTCCGCCTCTCCATCACTGTAACCACTGAAAATGAATTCTGTTGTACCTTAAAGTCCACCATAACCAACAATCAAATATCCATCAATGTTTAACACATCCTTTCGTTATTATTCTTGTTGTTGTTATTGTTGTTGTTTTTTTTGCGTTAATCGTTGTTATATAGCAAATGACACGGAAACTCTTGTTTCGTACATTTTTTTCAATATTAATTTAGTCACAAAAAAACAACAACAATGCACCAACATTTAGTTGCATTTTAAAATTCATTTCTTTGCTTCCTGCCAAAACTCAAATAGTTCGGTTGAATGAAAACAGATATAAAACTCCGCTTTTTATTATCTAAAACTAGATACCGTACAACAACAACAACAACAAATATCCTTATAAGCACCTTTTGTGCCTGTTTTATTGTATGTTGTATGAGAGTGAAAGTAATAAAAATGAAAAACGAGATTTACAAAATCCATCAACGAATTTCGATTATTTTTCATAGCTAAACACGCGTTGACGAACAGTATGAGGCAGGTTGCACGATAAACCATAGTAACAATACCCGGTTTAAACCAAGGGCAACATAATATCAACGACATCACAAAATCAATGAAACCGTTCGAGAGAAAACTGAAAATAACAAAGTTCGATGCCAACGGATAAAATGCAAGGGAATCGTTTATGAAAAAAAAAAAAAAAAAACAAAAACAAAAAAACACGTCATCAATACTGCAGTGTAAGGAGAAATTGCAATAACACCACCATTATAGCAACAACTTTACTATCAACTACTATTAGAAATGCATCAAATGCAACTCGGTAAAGTCTTGCTAGTCAGATATATGAGAATTTTGTGATAAACTGTGTCCGATAGTGTTACACGGTAAAACCGCAACAAGCCAGTTATCCGGAAATTATGCAACCTCGTCTGTCGCTGAATGGCAATTTACGGCATTTGGTACCTTCACCAGGACCGTTATGTCGTGATCATAGCTCACGTTCTATACAGCCATTGACTGCTAATGAGCAACAAATGGCTGAACTGGATGGTAGTTTCTATAGCAATATAACACGTACCACCTGTTTGGATGGCGACACCATACGCCTCAACGCAACAGAATATGATATTAATGCAACAACAAATGTCGTTGATACAAATAATAGCTATGGTTTTGGTGCCGGCGGTGGTGGTGGTGGTGGTAGTGGTGGTGGTCAAATTCATAATATTGGAGGTATTGGAAGAGGTAATAGTGGTGGCTCTGGTGGTTTTCACACAACTGAATTTTCCATTACGCCAAGTTTAACTGGTGGCGATGACCAATGCATTGATTTGGGCAGTGTGCGACGATTCTCTATCGATCGCCACAGCTATTTGGGTAAGTATTCAATGTTTACTGGTTTTATTCTTTTAATAAAAATTATTGCTTATGTGCGCACGTTAATGTATTCAAAACTGGAATGGATACCTAAAACGTCGATTTTAAGATGTTTGATAAATTTTGATATTATATAATCAGCATTCGATCGATTCTATGAGACTTTCGATTGAGCTTACTCTATTCTGAATTCATTGCGGAAACTGCAAATGCTTCTAATTAAATCTTTTATTTTAAATAAACATGGGCGTCTCTGCTTGCGAGATATAGTGACATGTACTGCTTTGTGGTTTAAATTAAGTCCATATCCATATTCACGTATTAAGGGTTATGCATATCAAAGATATAAAAGTAATGTAAAGAATTTGTCATTGGTTGTGCCAAGAACATGTGAAAAGCGAAATTAGAAACATTGTTAATAGAAGCCTTACAAGAGACTTAAGGCCAGAAATTTCTGCAGTCACTGAATACGTAATTTCGTTACGTCTCAAAGTAATGGGAAATCTTTAAATTGAAGCAAACTAGATGCCGAACAATCTATGGACAAAGCATGAGGATATTTTTTCACTCTCAAATAACTCTTTCGATGTGAAGACTGAAAGAGTTTTTCGCGGAGAATCGTAGTGAGGAAAAGGTTACTTACTACGATAATACGGAGCATAATGTATTCACGGACGGTCTTGGCCGTACCTCAACATAAATGACAAAGTTGGATATTCATACTTCGAAGCTCTTGCTCCGTGTTTGGGATGAAGAGCGAAGGCGAACCAATGTGAAGAGAGACACGACAAGATATGCACGACAACGCTCGGCGACTTATTGCAGTGCTAATTAAAAGTTAATGCTCCGCTCGCCCTATTTCTCAGATATTGGTACTTCTGGGAGCCGCTTGTTTTGAGTAATAACCCATGGTCTACATGAGCAGCACATACGTTCGAAAACAGAAGTAGGTCGATTTTTACATTGCCCTTAAAAACCAGTTATGCTTTCAACGCGGAGATTGTGTGATGGGGAAAATAGGCAGCGGTTCCACTACATTCCTTAAGAAAATAAATTGGATTTTCCCTACGAAATTTCTTAACATCTGCACTGGCTCTGAACATGAAGTCGTGTTTCCCATGAGAACCTAGTGCAAAAACAAAAGTTCTCCTAAAATAGGTGGCGAAAATATAATCAACAGCGGCGACTAAACTTTCGAATGTAAGTTGTAATGTAGTCCGCGTTCAGAGTTTCGGAAACATTTATGCCTAATCAGCTAATAATCTCAGTTCAGGTGTATGCGAACAAAGTCAATAAGACAAAAAGAAGCCTTAGCTGGAGGACATTTTTAAATATCAAAAAAGGCTAAAGGATATACTGTAAATCCTTTGTACAAAAACATTTTACTCATCTCGTGGACGTCTTTAACAGAAAAGATATTTATATTGAAGTTTCACTAAAATCGTAGGCTAGAGCGGAAAGCACTTGGATACTAAAATAATGTTGGATCCTTCTATATACCTATAGAATATACAGATAAGGATAATAACAATGTAATCCAGCAATAACTAAACGGAGTTCTAGCATATCGGTGGCAGGGCCGACACATAAATATTATCTCGATTAGGTTTTTTATCCATATGCTGTTCAAAAAAGGCCAACACATAAGCAACGGATTCCAAAATTTCGGGATTTCAATCAACTATTTGCTTGTGAGTTTCAATGAGCGTAATGAGTCTATCTTGTTCTATTTTCAAAATAAAGGAAAAAAATCCAAATTTGGCGTATTGAGTATGCATTGGTTTTCAGTAAGAAAAAAATACTCAGTCAATTAGCAAACGGGTTTCAGACAAGTGCTACGTAATCCTTTCTTCCTCGAAAATAACACTCTCTCGTTAATATTCTGATTAGAAAAGATCTCGTAAAAGTATCAATGATACTAAAACAAGGGAACACCTTCAAGAGACACTTATGTTAGGGAACATGAAAAAAATTCGGCAAATTTTTCTCGATAACCAAAACGGAAAGTCAAATGATATAAGTGACATCCTAGGTAAAAGCATTCACTGTTATATGTCACAACTTGAGTATGAGAAAGTTGTTTTCCAAATGGGCATGGCGTATGGTGAAAATGTACAAACCACATCGTGTCACTAAGCGGTGTCCATGATCTTTAACTAAAGGCCGAATTTCTGCTGCACACACACACACACACACATCTTCACATCTGATAGCGATTATTGTCTCTTTGCAAACTTCAAAAGAATCTTTCGGAAAAAAAATACGAATTGAATGATGAGGTAAACACAGAAGACGTGTTTTTAAGACCTTGACAAATATGTTAGGGAAGCACTGAGTTAATTGCATCAATCTTGAAGAAAATCACAATGATAAATAAAGTTGAAAAAATTTGTTTTTGTTTTTCATTTGCTCCCTCTAATTACATCTTGGACTGATATATGTAACGCTTGGTTCTTAAGTAATCGTCACCATTTTCATACTAATCGGCCATGCAAATAATAACTTTATCTTCTTGATTGATATACCTGATGATATGATCTTTTTGTTTTTTTTTTCTTTGCTCAAATAATAAACGTTTCATATACCGTTTATTTTTTTTCTTTACAGATCTAGGATCCAAATTTGGCATGTCACAGCCCAAATTTGGCCAAAGTGTTTCACAACAAGGTTTCTTTACATCGCATGATAGTCTTGCCACACCATGTGCGTCACGAGCATCAAATCCGCATGTGGCCACAGTAAGCACTGCCTCCGACATGGACTTATTATACAACAAACAGGCCAGACGAAAATCGCGTGGACGACTGAAAGATATGACAACAAGCGATGCACCTTTATTGGGTTCGTGGAATCGTTCAACGAATCGTGGCTCTCAGGATAACCCCTTGATGGGCAGTCATAACTTTAGTGGGAATTTTTGTAACGGTACTGATCGGTAAGTTTAATTTGAAATGAAAACGAATGCAAAAATTAAGGAAAAAAAAAATGTCACGGACTGACACGGACCCCTTATTATGTATTTATTAAATATAAACGTATAATGCTATCGAATATTAAAAAAAAAAAAATGCAAACCAAATGCATAACTATTTCAGGGCAAATTTTTAAATGTGACATAGATTTCCTTCAAGACTTAAGTTAAACTTTTATGGTTTAACTTTCATTTCCTTTTTTTTTCTTTTTTCTCGTTTTATTTGAGAAATTCATTTAATGTGAACTGAATTCTCGAGTTTTATTTCATTTCGGGGTAAAAGAAGTATGACTTTGCTCAGGCGAACATTACGTGTAGTAGCACATACATAGTTTGTCGTAAAAATACTTTCAATAAAAACGAGTATTCCAACAATCATCATTTTGTGAGTGCGACCGAGTAAATGTTACTCATCTGCACTTTACGTTGATAGACAGACTTCAATTTATTGCACTGTTCAAGTACATTTAGGGCACTTTGAAATTCATTTACTTTCTGCTTTCATACCTGTCTACTCTTTAATTTAATTTCGCTCCTTATTGCTTTTGCTTCTTTTTTTTTTTTTTATGCTCGCTGTCAAATATTTTTAAATGTACATTTTAAGATCTGTTTCTGCTGAGGACACCTCATGAATGAAACTTCATTTTTCCCATTGCTTTTTTCTTTTCCTTATCCTTTTACTCTAAACGATTAGGTAGAGTAGATGTTTTTGAAAAGGCATGAACGAATAAATCAGTTGACAATCTTCTATGTTCGATATCCTGTTAAAAAAGTATCGGGTTTTGGCTACGCGTACTTGACAAGACTTGACTTGATTTGTCAGTTCTTAAGACTCACCTGCTGTGACTAATATGCTACAAGGCCGTTAAGTTATAAAGACTAATAGATCGCCGATTTTAAGAGCTATCTTAGATTTTATTCATTTACAAAAACGAAGTCCGCTTGTCGAGTTTTTTTTCTTTTAAAAAGTCTCCAATAATTTAACAAAAGGCTTTGATAATGATAGCTCATTAAAACCGTAGGGTTATCGATGGTAAATTGCACTTTAGGCAGGACTGGGTTTGGCGGATCGTTAGTTAAGAACCTATTTATTTTTTCACTATGAAGATCTTATTTAACGAATAATATGTTTATGGCGAACATTTGCAGTTCGTTCCCCCCAAAGCCTTCTTCGTGATTTTTTGACCTAAAGTTCTGTTTATACTATCGACCCAGCAAAAGTCAGATTAAGTTGCCGCATAGCCGAATAGATGAGAGCCGCTATTAAGCATGTCGGCGCTCGCGGGTTCAAATCTCATTGCGATCTCGTCGCTATAATGACTACTCAGATGCCGAAGACTTACCGAGACATACATCCTACATTCGTTACCTCGTTCTTCTTTACTTCTTTTTGGACATGGCCCTGTGTTACCCCAATTGGGGGATTATGTGTTTGAGAGAGAAACGAACGAGTCATATAAAAGAAAATCGAAAAAGTTCGTTTTTTCCAATCAAATCTTTCTTCATTTCTTTAGTGCCAGGGAAAGAGCCTGAGAAATGTGCTTTAAATATTAATTTGTCATAGGTAATTTCTTTCAAATAGAGTCTACTTTTGTCTATTTTTTTTTTTAACTCTACGCGATTAACTAAAAAGTTGTTTTTTTATATTTCTAATTCCCGGTACTTTTTCAATCTACTTCACATAAATATTTGTTTATATTACGACTACCTGTGTATAGTGCATATAGAGACGACAAAATATGATACAAACGATAGCAACTTTCTGCTCTCTATTTAGCTTAACTTAAGCATTACATAATAATAAATTTAAAATGTAAAAGAATCGAGGTTGCTATGGCTACTGCGGCTACAGAAGAAGAGACATGCATAAGACATGCAACATTTGCTTTTGTTAATTGATATTTTTCTTATTTGTTTTAATTATTAGGTGTTAAAGTTATTTTCTTTTTCACTTTTTATAGTTCATTACGCACGCGCTCTGGCACTTCAACGACCACCACACAACATCATCAGCATTCGCATCATCAGTATACCCTACAACACTCTACCTCCTCTGCGCATGCACGCCACCAACAGCATCAGCTGCAATTGCAACAACAACAGCAGCTACAGCAACAGCAACACCCACATCATCAGCAACATTCGTCATCATTAACAGGCCAACAAACGCAATCGCATACGCAAAAGAAATTGCATCGTACGCCATCACGACGCCTGCGTGCTGCACGAAAATTATACTTTGTTTTCGATCCAGCGGGGCGTCTATGTTATTATTGGTCGATGGTCGTATCTTTGGCGTTTCTTTACAATTTCTGGGTTATCATCTATCGTTTTGCCTTTCAAGAGATTAATCGTCGCACGATAGTTGTGTGGTTTTGCTTGGATTATTTTTCCGATTTTTTATATCTTATTGATATATTTTTTCATTTTCGCACGGGTTATCTGGAAGATGGCGTACTGCAAACGGATGCGATGAAATTGCGACAACATTATATGAATTCGACCACATTTTACATAGATTGCCTATGTTTGCTGCCATTGGATTTTTTATATTTATCGATAGGTTTCAATTCGATATTACGTTCGTTTCGTTTAGTGAAAATCTATCGATTTTGGGCATTTATGGATCGCACCGAACGTCACACGAACTATCCAAATTTATTTCGTTCGTTAGCGCTCATACACTATTTACTTGTGATATTCCATTGGAACGGGTGTCTCTATCATATTATACATAAGAATAACGGTTTCGGTTCGCGGAATTGGGTCTATCACGATTCGGAATCGGCCGATGTAGTTAAACAATATTTACAAAGTTATTATTGGTGTACGTTAGCTTTAACAACGATCGGTGACTTACCGAAGCCACGATCGAAAGGTGAATATGTGTTTGTGATATTACAATTGCTATTCGGACTGATGCTGTTCGCCACCGTTCTGGGGCATGTTGCAAACATTGTGACATCAGTGAGTGCGGCACGCAAAGAATTTCAAGGTAATTTCTTTTCTTTTTTCTTTATTTTCTTATATATGCGTTTAAAAGAAATTTTCACATTAAAGATGAACAAAAGAAGAGAAAAACAATAAATAAATCAACAATTGAGAAAATTGTGTTCGGCCAGTACCGAATCTTTTATACCCATCATCACTTGATGCTAGTTAATAGTAAGTGATTAATATTCTCTGATGATAAAATTTTGATATTCTATAGTACTGAGTAGGCGCAGCCGACTTTTCTATACCATCCAAACCAAACATTTTTGCTTTTGTAAAACAGACATCGTCTCAGATTATATTCTACTGTCGTCGTATTCCTTGATCGATTTGACTCAATTTCAACACCAACCTGAACCAAATTCAATCTTTGCGCCAAATTTGAAGGTGATTGCGATCGAGTGAAGGTGTACCGTAGACGGACGCTCGGACAAGCTTAAGTCAATTTAGATTTTGATCCTTATCAAGAATATAAATATATTATGGGGTCTTTGAAACTTCCTTCTGAATGTTACTGCAAACGTTTTGACAAAACGATTGTACCTCTCCTCGTTCGTTGATGACGATATAAAAAGAAAAGTTTGCATAAATTTTGGTAACCGTACAAAGAAAGAGAATGTATTTGAGCAATAATATAAGACCACAAAAATTTTCCAACTTTATTGAAAGTCAAATATTTTCACAGAAATATATCAAAATTTCTCGAAACACTTTACCATCAACTTGTAATTTTATTCGTTGTCATCGAACATCGGCAAAATTTATAGCCAATCAACAAACCATTTATTACTCCGTAACACAAACTAAGAAGAATGTGACAAATTCTATTTGAAATCATTTATCATAGCAAAGTTTAGCAGTTCGTTATGCATGAATGTGCAGATTTTGGTTTGCTTAACAAACCATAACTTCTTTCTTGCTTTTAACTGATGTCATACTTAAAACGCTCTTGCGTAAGTAACGAAAAATTATTAAAATTTTATTTTTAAATTACTTTTCATTTAATTTAAATGAAAAAAAAATTTCATATAATTTTTTTCTTAATTATGGGCCAATCATTGAATCAATCGCGAAAATAAGAGAAAACTTTCTATAGGTTTTCGTGTTTGTTTCTTAGCCATTGGAGGACCATTTTTGCAATAGTGTTAAGAATTTATGCGTGTGTGGGAGCATTTTAATTCGTAGACCATGTAAATAGGAAGTAAAGACTGATTAAGCGATTGCGATACTTAAGCTATTCAAGATTATTAGATCAGAGAGAGAGAGACGTTTGCTCTTGAGTTTGAGTCGATGTCTTAGGCGACGACATGTATGAACTGTGAAAGGCGTATTTTTGTTGCAAGAAGAATTGAACTTTGATCATTGAACACTGTGATCATTGTTTAAACTTTTCTACTACAGTGTCGTGGAAAACTGTATCATCTCTTTGAACAAGACAAGTTATCAGGATTAGCAATCAGAAAAAATTTGTAGAAATTTTGTTATTCAAGATATACGCATTAGGCCTATGTTCGAAAGGAATGTGTTCAATAATTTGCGGTAAACTAACTGCAACATGTTTATAGAAAGAATTTTAAAGTGCAGAAGGCAGACTGTAGAGATTGCAAAAGTGCAGAAGTGTTTGCTACAGAATTATAACAACAGCTGGATAAAAACATTTGTCAGAATTTTTTTTTTCATCAGTCATTTATTTCTAAAATTGTGAAATAAAAATCAATCAAAGGTAATCTGAGTGTTCATAGATTCTTTCCTTTTTGAATTAATAGAGCAAGAAATGCTTATAGAACGAACTGCATGCATAAACTGAGTTATATATTAATATCTTTATGTATATCTATATATATCTTTATATATATATATATATACAAGGATATATTCGCTTGACTTTTTTGTTACGCATTTTTATTGAAGTGTGTGTTTGTGTTTGTATAAAGAAGTGAAAATAATTTTTGGAAAACCAGATGACGGATGAGAATATAAAAAGTTGATAACATACAAAAAACCAAGTGACGAGAATGCTCCTGGCTGTAGTTGAGGAAACACCAAGATTTACGCGCATGGCTTGTAAGTGTATAATGTAAGTTTTATCAAATGATATCTGTGTAATAACACATTAGACAGCGACATTTAGTAAAGACGAGAAGGAAGAAAACGGGCAGAATCTGCTTGAAAGACCTTCCTCAGTAGGAAGCAATGTGCCGTTCAACAGAAAAAGAACAAAAGTCATTTGCTTTGTTGAAAGAGCTTCGTTCGCAGGCAGCCTCTGGCATTTAGTCCAGCCTTGGCAAGACTTCCATTTATTTTTCCCTACCCTTCAGTTAGTAAGCTGCCTTCATAAGAGATCTATGAAGAAGTATTAGCATACATTTATTGATAAAATAATTAAACCTCTTCATACGGCACGATTACGTTGCTGCGGGAATAATAGTAAGGAATCATTAAAGCTAATAATTTTTATCTACGTTCCTCCATAAAGTCATTTTATATTATCATCAAATGTTCTTTCACTTTATGTGATCGATTATCAATGGTATGATGAAATTGGTTTACTTTTATCCTTTACTAACGGTTCGTCAAACTTACAATTGAAAAAAAAAAAAGAAGAAAATTTGAAAATTTATTTAAGCATATATATGCCAGAATTGTGTAAATATTTACGAGTATAGGAAAAACAGTGTTATGTAAAGCCGTTAAATTTAAGAAGTGAATCCATTTAGATTAGTAAGCCCGGTAAAATCTCATAAATATTTACGTGTTTATTACCGATGCATAAAAGCATGTATACGTACGCAATGGTATTGTGTTCTTAACTCACATCACATACCACCTGTGCTTGCACGTTCATGTTCTTACAAGCCAAACATAAAATGTTCGTTTTCTCATGGAGTTTCAGATTAAGTTTATTGATATTACTTGAGCTGAATAACAAAACAAAAAGAATAATAAAGTTCACATGATTCTCTCTGTTGCCTTCAATCTTGGAACATGAAAAGAAAACTTCCGTTATTTCACCCTTTACGGAAACACACACGTAACGATACTCTGACGTATTCCCGGCAATGGCATACATCTTGTGAAACTATTCAAACGAATGTAGTGAGTGAGTTTTGGATTTTGAACAGATTTAGTTAATATAATATATTACAGCAAAAAAACTTTTAATAGAGTATAAGGATTCTACTGTAGGTAGTCAATAATTTCATATTCTAAGGTCGTTGTTCGCTTCTTTTTATACCCATCACCGAAGGATGAGCGTATTCATATTGTCAAACTGTTTTCAATGTCCACAAGGAAGCTACAGAGAGCCTACAAAATATATATACGTTCTTGATCAACATCATATTCTACGCCAATTTAAGCATGTCCGTCTGTCTGGTTGTCCATTTGTCCGTCCGCTGTTGTAAACGTTCTCCTGGCAGTAAAAATTAATCTATCGATTTAATAGTAATATTGAAAGTCCATGCACGCAGGCGGGTACTGAAGAATATGCCAAATCGATCAGATGACACGCCCACAGTACCACTGAGAACTGAGAACACTTCTGTTTTTCAAAAGAAATTAAAACTTGATTTCGAGCATTGCTCGTAAACTACAGCAGACAGACGCATAAAAATTTCAAAGCATTTTTTGTGAGCGATGCTGCAGTAACTGTAGGGAAATGGAAAAAATTGACCATCCCTACCCAATATTGTAGCGTATCAAAATTTAGTTTTTTTTTTTTTTCAATACCTTTATAATGCGCAGAAACAAGCTTCAAAAAGCTTCAAAAGTTTTTAAATTCGAATGCGCTGTCCATCTGTCCATCCGCCCAACTGTGTAGTGTCGTAATCTTTACAAAGCACACGCCTACAATATCCATACGGCTATCCGATAAGAGCAAATGTTTTGAAAATAGAAAAATTCAGCCCCGCCCACTGTACAATGTAGAACATGCACTGCAATTTTTTTTTAGCATAACGATGACGGGTACGAAAGATTCGGTCGGAAACGAAAGTAATTTCTTACTTGTGTTTCTTACTTATTTTTTTTGAGACGTGGAATTTTTTCAAATGCAAAAAAATTGTTCTTCATTTTTAGTAAAAAAAGTTTGCTTTCTATAGAGAAGTCACTCAATTCGTAAGTCAATGCGCACAAATAAGGTGAACGCACATCGTGTGTGAGAAAATTTTTATTGCGAGGACCGGGTTGAACAACATGTGTGCAATGTAAAGTAAAATAAAAATTCATCATAAAAATTGATGAGCATTTGCTTCAAAAGCAGTTAGATAACATAAAATCATTTATTTTCCTTTCCAATAATAGGGCAAGGAATATAATGGAAAGGAAATTTTAGG